TTCCATAGGGTAATTTCTGAAACATTTCTTTTCGAAGAATTCAATGTACAAGTTTGAATGCAATGCCGATAAAGTATTCCTCATTGCCATTCCAAAAGTCTGTAAATAATACTCATTATTAAAGGTAAATTTACATTCTTTAATACACAGCTTGACGACATTGATAGTAATATCAACAAAGTAATATATGGTTCATTAAATTCATGAGAAAGATAATCAAGAATATCATCAACCGGCACCTTTGTAAACAAAGAATAAACGTCACAACTTATGTAACTTGACAATCAGGATTGACAAGGAACACTATTAAATTTGTTAACTAATTCAATTAAATTGGTCAAATGAGAAGAGGAAATAGTTCCTAACAATGGGGACAAGATTTTGGTAAGCCATTCCAATGGGCTGTATAGTTTGTTATGTTTATATTCGTTACTCTGATTGCATTTTGAATCTATTATCGTGTTCGAGTGGCACGAATGTGTTTACAGAAAGCCTACGAATAACTTATGTTCATTATTTTTCAGGGCATAGATACAGTGTGAAATGATAAATTATTTCCTCTATGTATCTAAGAGCTCTTCGGGTTGTTAGTCAAGAATTCTAAGATGAAGAGGTTTAAGAATATTGATTCTATTCGTCTCAAGCTTTGTTATCCACTGAGTTTTATTTGGAAGTTTGCCGTAGCAAAGCACGTCGTACATATTATAATAATATATGCAGTGAGAAAATTCGCCCAAAAAGTGTGTTCTTTACCATATTTTTCTGGGTTCGAAAATATTCTCAAGGCCTTGAAACTTTTTTATATAAATGTATTGTTTAATTACGAAAATACTGTTGGAAAACTATTAGTTAGAAACAGACCTCGTAGTGATAATTGTGTCATTTATAAAATACCTTGTAAAGACTAATATGTTCTATATATTGCAAACATCTAGAGATTTGAAATTTATAATTTCGCAACATACTCTGTAAGACATGGCCAATTGTCTAATGCTTGTTTGTTCATTTGTCATAACGTTCTCACCAAATTGATTGGGAGATGATGGCTTCTTCAATAACGAATGGTAAAAAAATCACTTTCAATAGGAACATAATTGAATCTTCTTTAATACAGATTACAAAACCATGTAATTTTAACATTAACAGTGGTTTGTATAATTTAGACCCTTTTTTAATTGATCAGTTAAAGGGAGATTTGAATAGAATCATTGATACACATTTACCTCACTAATACCCATTATCTCATTAAGACATTGTACCTCACCTCACTTCACCTCTTTCCTGCCTATATATCCAACCTACTGATCTGTAAATCCATCTTTCTGAAGACGTATTATTAATTAAATACGAAAATACTCTTAATCCTTCCTTCGTGGTCTGTCATGGTCTCTCTCATATATATATATATATATATATATATATATATATATATATATATATATATATATATATATATATATATATATAATTGTGTGTGTGTGTGTGTGTGTAGTGGGGGTGTTTTGTATTATAAAATACAAAAAGCATTACTAAACATAATACCGGAAATGTTTAAATATTTTCTTCAGTTTTGAACTAAGACTGCGAGTACTTTATTATGCTCAATTTCACAAATATTCGCAAAGTTTGTGTGTGTATTATATATATATGGCTAAAACAATAACTTTCCTAACAAGATCATAAGTACAAAAATGCTAACTATATTAATCAAATATGATAAGATAATCAATAATTTGCACTTCCGAATATACTTAAAATGACGATAATTTAATGTGAAAAACCAGCTCAAGTGTTCAGAAGCACACACACACACCTTTAAATTGATCTGGGGTTGTATATGATTTGTATCCGACTAAAGCAATTTGTTCAAAAAATGAACAAATATTGAACAGATGAACAAATAAAAGTATGGGGGAATAAGGCGACCCCAGCCTCCTAAGATGGAGGTACTTGTAGTAACGATGTGGACCAAAACACAACATTGTCGTGATGGACCACCAGAAAGTAGACTTTTGAAGTACTGAATTTGGACAAACCTGGAATTTCGATAATATTTATATTGCTAATAAAACCAAACCTAACCATCTTAGGCCTAACGCACGTTACCCGAGGCCTAATATAATACATTTATGTGCTATATAGGCCTAGGTATATTTACTTTTTTAGCATTATTATACCAAGACTCCATAAGGTACAAAAAGTGGCTTCCTGTCAAAAGATTGTAATTTGCTTAGCTAAACGAACAATGGGGTTCCGTTCCTGAACCAATTATGTGCCTCTGTAACCCTTACACCACCGCCCACGGGATGGGTATGGGGTGCATAATAAGGAAAGAAACTGAATTGGGGCTCCAGTATATAGGTACGACCAGCCACAGTTACGAACACAGCTATTAAGACAGGAGGACGGGTTGAAATAGATAGATCGTGATAGTCATAATAGAGATGCTCATTTGTTTGCCGCGGAATTACATTATAATTTGAAAATTAAGCCAATCATATTGGCTTAGGCTAAAGCCTCCCTTCCTCTCCCAATCCCCAGCAATAATCACCCACTCAAACCACCAGCACCGTGCACGCGAGTGTTCCCAACGTCAAGAAACTGTCGTGCTAGAGTAACCTTTATTATTATTATTAACATCTTTATTGACAAAATTAATTACAATTTTGCCTAGTCTAACGGAGGGACGCACGAACAGAAAACGGGACATGATGGCAATTCCCCGAGCCGCTACCATTTTCTAATACGATAATTCTTGCCCTTTGGTAGAGCGTACGTCAAAATATTGGCAGTATATGTCGGACGACCTAACGTTTAGGGAGAATAACCAAGCAAATATTGCGTAAACCAGAAAAATGATAGGATGGATTACGAGAACTTTCAAATCCAGGATCCCATCACAATGGTTGTACTCTTCAAGTCACTTGTGTTGTCCCGTCTTGAGTACTGCTCAGTACTCACTTCCCCCTTCAGAGCAGGAGAGATTGTTGAAATAGAGGGAATACAGAGAACATATACGGCACGCATAGACGAGATAAAGCACCTAAATTATTGGGATCGTCTCAAAATGTACTTCCTACAAAGGAGACGAGAGAGGCATCAAATAACATATACATGGAAAATACTGGAGGGGACAGGACCCAAAACTACACAGTAAAATAACAACGTACTGGAGTGAACGGTATGGAAGAAAATGCAGAATATAACCAGTGAAGAGCAGAGGTGCCATAGGCACAGAGAACACTGTATAAACATCAGAGGTCCCCGGTTGTTCAACACCCTCCCAGCAAGCATAAGAAATATTGCCGGAACAAAAGTGAGCATCAACATGAAGCTGAATAGTTTTGTTTTGTTTCAAAAAGTGCCGGACCAACCGGGCTGTGGTGGATATGTGGGCCTGCGGGCCACTTCAAACAACAGCCTGTTGAACCAGGCTCTAACAAGCCAAGCTTGGCTTGTGGCCGGAGTTGGGGAGTAGAAAAACTCCCAGAACCCCATCCAGGTACAATCCAGGTACAGATACATCCAAACCCTCTGGAATCAAAAATGCGAGAGGAGGGAGCTAGACGCTTGACACAGCAAGATGATTGTTCACATTCCCCATTCTCAAACGCGACCAACGATTCAATAACACTTTTTTAATCTGACCAATCATGTTAAGGAGGGAGTAATGACAGGAGTTTATGAACTAGACGAGGGTAATGACAGGCTGAGCGTGACAGCGTAAGGACAGGCGGAGCGTGACAGCGTAAGGACAGGCGGAGCGTGACAAGGGTAAGGGCAGACAGAGCGTGACAAGCCTATTATTTCCCTGCCCCCTTCCCACCTCCTTCCTAACTACTCTCAAACATTTCGTCTGGTAATGGTACATTCGTAAGTTTAATTTCACCCACCCATCTTGTTTCTTTTCAGCGAGTTATCATAGCAGACAGAGAACTCTACTAACAACACGTGAAAGTTACCATACCCGTTACTTAATAACCGTACCCGTTAATTATTTAAACTCCTCTCGATTTATTTGTTTTAAGTGTTTTTCCCGTTCACTCTTGACAAGTTTGTGTCCCTCGTTAAGTATTTTACCTCAAAACAATGACAACAAAAGTACTTGTCGCGTGAATGTAACTGAAGTTCACTTTGCATTGTATTTGTTTACGCGAAACACAGATTATAGTGTTACTTACACAAAAAATCGAAATGGCTTGTAATAATGCGAATTGCAATAATAAACCAAATCATGACTTTCAATATATACTTATTAAATAATTCTCGCAATACAAAGGCTTCTAGCCACATATTACAACATAAAATCAATAGAAGCCTAAACTAAATCATTTATCTGAACATAAAATCAATAGAAGCCTAAACTAAATCATTTATCTGAACATAAAATCAATAGAAGCCTAAACTAAATCATTTATCTTAACATAAAATCAATAGAAGCCTAAACTAAATCATTTATCTGAACAAAAAATCAATAAAAGCCTAAACTAAATCATTTATCTGAACATAAAATCAATAGAAGCCTAAACTAAATCATTTATCTGAACATAAAATCAATAGAAGCCTAAACTAAATCGTTTATCTTAACATAAAATCAATAGAAGCCTAAACTAAATCATTTATCTGAACATAAAATCAATAGAAGCCTAAACTAAATCATTTATCTGAACATAAAATCAATAGAAGCCTAAACTAAATCATTTATCTGGACAAAAATAATCGTCACTCGTACTTCAGCCTCGATACGATATATATATATATTTGTGTTCTCGTCAGACAACAATTAACATTTACTTAAACAAGAGCTTATAAGTGTTTTGTTAACAAGGTTGACCAGGAGGTGATGACGTGTGTTCTCTCACTCTGCGGTACAAGGCTGCTTTCACTCTATGCTAACTGCTGGTGAGGACACGTGGATATGTAGCCATGTGTGTGTGTGTGTGTGTGTGTGTGTGTGTGTGTGTGTCTTCCTATGTACTGGCGACTATATCCTGTGTTAGGTGGACACGGCGGGGACTATCCTGTGTCAGGTGGACACGGCGAGGACTATCCTGTGTCAGGTGGACACGGCGAGGACTATCCTGTGTCAGGTGGACACGGCGAGGACTATCCTGTGTCAGGTGGACACGGCGAGGACTATCCTGTGTCAGGTGGACACGGCGAGGACTATCCTGTGTTAGGTGGACACGGCGAGGACTATCCTGTGTTAGGTGGACACGGCAGGGTCTATCCTGTGTTAGGTGGACACGGCGAGGACTATCCTGTGTCAGGTGGACACGGCAGGGACTATCCTGTGTCAGGTGGACACGGCAGGGACTATCCTGTGTTAGGTGGACACGGCAGGGCCTATCCTGTGTCAGGTGGACACGGCGGGGACTATCCTGTGTCAGGTGGACACGGCGAGGACTATCCTGTGTCAGGTGGACACGGCAGGGACTATCCTGTACAAGGTGGACACGGCAGGGCCTATCCTGTGTCAGGTGGACACGGCGAGGACTATCCTGTGTTAGGTGGACACGGCGAGGACTATCCTGTGTTAGGTGGACACGGCGAGGACTATCCTGTGTTAGGTGGACACGGCAGGGACTATCCTGTGTCAGGTGGACACGGCGAGGACTATCCTGTGTCAGGTGGACACGGCGAGGACTATCCTGTGTCAGGTGGACACGGCGAGGACTATCCTGTGTCAAGTGGACACGGCAGGGACTATTCTGTGTTAGGTGGACACGGCAGGGACTATCCTGTGTCAGGTGGACACGGCGAGGACTACCCTGTGTCAGGTGGACACGGCGAGGACTATCCTGTGTCAGGTGGACACGGCGAGGACTATCCTGTGTTAGGTGGACACGGCAGGGACTATCCTGTGTTAGGTGGACACGGCAGGGACTATCCTGTGTCAGGTGGACACGGCAGGGACTATCCTGTGTCAGGTGGACACGGCGAGGACTATCCTGTGTCAGGTGGACACGGCGAGGACTATCCTGTGTCAGGTGGACACGGCGAGGACTATCATGTGTCAGGTGGACACGGCGAGGACTATCCTGTGTCACTATCCTGTGTCAGGTGGACACGGCGAGGACTATCCTGTGTCAGGTGGACACGGCGAGGACTATCCTGTGTCAGGTGGACACGGCGAGGACTATCCTGTGTCAGGTGGACACGGCGAGGACTATCCTGTGTTAGGTGGACACGGCAGGGACTATCCTGTGTTAGGTGGACACGGCAGGGACTATCCTGTGTTAGGTGGACACGGCAGGGACTATCCTGTGTCAGGTGAACACGGCAGGGACTATCCTGTGTTAGGTGGACACGGCAGGGACTATCCTGTGTCAGGTGGACACGGCAGGGACTACCCTATGTTAGGTGGACACGGCAGGGACTATCCTTCGTTAGGTGGACATGGCGGGGACTATCCTTCGTTAGGTGGACACGGCAGGGACTATCCTTCGTTAGGTGGACACGGCAGGGACTATCCTGCGGGAGGTGGACACGGCAGGGACTATCCTGCGTTAGGTGGACACGGCAGGGACTATCCTTCGTTAGGTGGACACGGCGGGGACTATCCTTCGTTAGGTGGACACGGCAGGGACTATCCTTCGTTAGGTGGACACGGCAGGGACTATCCTTCGTTAGGTGGACACGGCAGGGACTATCCTTCGTTAGGTGGACACGGCGGGGCCTATCCTGTACAAGATGGACACGGCAGGGACTATCCTTCGTTAGGTGGACACGGCGGGGCCTATCCTGTACAAGATGGACACGGCGGGGCCTATCCTGTACAAGATGGACACGGCAGGGACTATCCTTCGTTAGGTGGACACGGCGGGGCCTATCCTGTACAAGATGGACACGGCAGGGACTATCCTTCGTTAGGTGGACACGGCGGGGCCTATCCTGTACAAGATGGACACGGCGGGGCCTATCCTGTACAAGATGGACACGGCAGGGACTATCCTTCGTTAGGTGGACACGGCGGGGCCTATCCTGTACAAGATGGACACGGCAGGGACTATCCTTCGTTAGGTGGACACGGCGGGGCCTATCCTGTACAAGATGGACACGGCGGGGCCTATCCTGTACAAGATGGACACGGCGGGGCCTATCCTGTACAAGATGGACACGGCGGGGCCTATCCTGTACAAGCTGGACACGGTAGGGACTATCCTGTGTTAGGTGGACACAGCAGGGACTATCCTTCGTTAGGTGGACACGGCGGGGACTATCCTGTACAAGGTGGACACGGCGGGGCCTATCCTGTACAAGGTGGACACGGCGGGGACTATCCTGTACAAGGTGGACACGGCGGGGCCTATCCTGTACAAGGTGGACACGGTGGGGGACTATCCTGTACCAGGCAGACACGGAGACTATCGAACACATACAAGTCAGAAATACATCACTATCTGTGACCCGCCTATCACAACTACAGAAATCTTACAAGTAATAATACAACAAAATACACATTTTGTAGAAGCAGTAATGCCGCTGTTACCAGTTATGAATGTTACAGAAGTCTGTAACGTAAGTCTTTAACGACAAAACAGATATTTGCAGATCCAGTCTTTTGAAACCCACATTTTCTCAACGGTTACATTACAACTGTTAATTAACAACGGTTAGTTATTTCTCAACAACCCAGCCGTTGTTGGGTTTAAGGCGGGCCAGCGCCTGGCCTGACCTCCCTTACCTTAGAGCTTTGGGGACCTCGGGGAAGGTGGTCTGGCCGAGGATGGCCAGCTCCTGAACGGTCTTCAGCGTCTGGGGCTCGGCCGAGATGCCCTGAGCCCTGGTCTTGCGAGCCTGGCCCTTGGGGCTGCTGGATGCCCCGCCGGTCGCGTAGGGTATGACACTCTGGAACTTATCCAGTTGCGACCTGAGCTCCGTAATTTCATCATCTCGAACTTTAAGCTTCTCCTCCAAATCGCGAATGAGATCGTCCTTCTTGCCGAGGAGATCCTTCAACTCTAGTGAGCCCATGCTGGAGACGCACTGATCGACACCGTTCAACAAGAGAGACATAACCCGGTACACATCACCGTCACAGTAGCCAAACGCCGACTAACCTCACACGAGGTGGCAGACCTGTTTCAAGACGCCGAACTGCGAAAGGCTGGCTGCGCGCTCATAGTTTGCATGTGCGGCTTTTATTTTCGCACCAAATGCGGCTGAAATTAGCCGGTAATCTATTAGTTATGGAATTATTGAGCTCTAAAGTCACACAAGGTAACAAAAGCAGTGGGGGTTATGTCGGTGGTAAAGTAGTTAAATAATGTAGGAACGTTAAGTCTGTGAGAAGCGTGTAGAGGAATAACGAAGAAATGGCAGCCTAGCCTCTGGTGGCGCGCGGCCCAAGCAACAGGTGGGGGGCGGAGCCTATCATTCACATCCTCAATACTACAGTGCACACACGCGTGCATACACGCGCGCACGCACGGTTTCACACGCACATAGGGGCACGCAACACCTCTGTATGGATATATCAAGACAAATTATGTAACAAATTAAAAAATTTTTTTTATTTAATTTGTTACATATTATAGAACTTTAATGAAAAATAATATGTATATTTAATACAGGTGTTTAGGTTAGGTGTTTAGGTTCTGTTGCCGATTATTTGTATTGCAACCCGTCGTCACACAAAATTCATTCCATCCAGCGGTCGACCCCACAGACGCTTTCACCAGTTTTTTCAACACGCTGTTAATTCAAAATGAGAATTTACTCAAATATAAATTAATATTGTTATATATTGGCATATTGTGCATATATAGGCATGGGTTAGGTGTTTAGGTTCTGTTGGCGATTATTTGTATTTGTAATACGTCGGGTGAAGCATTTACAGCGTTGTGGTTCGAACAAAAGTCGTCAGCGAAGCATTTGTTCCGGAAGTGTTCGAACGTCATCAGTTGTAAGCCGCCCGTCCTCCAAACAAAGAACCAAAAGTGATTCCATGCACCCGCCAAACCCCCTGTTTATGAATGAAAAACGATTTACACACGACTCAACTGATTTCGTTCGAACACTTCCGGAACAAGTGCTTCACTGACGACTTTTATTCGAACCACAACGCTGTAAATGCTTCACCCGCGAACTACAAATACAAATAATCGCCAACAGAACCTAAACACCTAACCTAACCTACGCCTAACTATACATAGAATTTTTATGTATAATAATATTAATTTATATATGAGAACAAACCAATTTTTAGTACACAATGTTAAAATTGATGACTGCGTCTGGGGAGGACGGCGGCTAGGCCTAAGCAGCCTAGTGTGAGGACGGGGTGTGGTATGAAGGTATTTCCACCTTTATTGTGGTTTGCAATTTATATATTATGTATCTAATTGGCCAAGTTGGCTAACAAGCCGAATTTTCCTTAAATATTGTATTTCCCAATTTTTTTTCTTATGGAATGATAAAGCTTTCCATTACATGATTAGATTTTTTAATTTGAGCATAGTAGAAATTAACCAATAATTTGAGAATAGTAGAAACTAATATAGAAATTTGATCAAACCTAATGCACAACCTATCTAACTTGACCTAATGTAGTCTAACCTAAGTCAGTAATTAAAGTTCTTAATGTAATATACTAATTTTAATTGGAACGAACGAATTTGGAAATATTTTAAAATAACGAAAATCACCGTTTATTAGCCAAATCGGCCCCTGTATACTAGGCCAAGCAGTGCGAGTATGTATGTATATTTTATTAATTTATTTTATTTAAAATAAAATTTCATTGCAGAAAAAAGGTTACAACAGTGGTTACATGCAGGGTACAAGGCTACTTGTCACAGGTTGTAGAGTTCCTCCAGCTCCTCAGATGGCGGGCAGGAACCATGGATGCAGTGAGCATTTCCTCTCTGGATCACCACACTAAGGCGCTGAAAGAGGAAACTGGAGGCTTTAGGGTATCTAGTAACACTTTTATATAATTTATCCCGATGGGAAGCTCACTATATATTATATTTATTTATTTGTTGTTCATGGTCTGGTCAGCATTTTTCACGAGCTGTTGGACTTCATCACCCGGTTATCTTGAGATGATTTCGGGGCTTTAGTGTCCCCGCGGCCCGGTCCTCGACTAGGCCTCCACCCCCAAGAAGCAGCCCGTGACAGCTGACTAACACCCAGGTACCTATTTTACTGCTAGGTAAACTGCACATTTCCCACACATTCCGCTCTGTGTGGAGCTCCCTACACCAGTTCCGTCACTCCATCACACGACTCTCACACACGAGATATAAACTCAATTTTCCCCTTGAAATATAAATTACGGAGAATCCAGCCTGTCAGTATGAAGGCTCCCCGGGCTGGAGGCTCGTGACCCTCGCTGACCGACACATAATTGGGGTCATTAGAGGTCACTCGCTCTACGTCATGCTATCTCCCGTGACGCAAGCAAAGGGTCTTAATGACTGATCTGTGGGATGGTGTTATGGTTATCTGTGTTGTTTTTTTATATTTGTCCAGATATGTACCTGGATGGGATTCTGGGAGTTCTACTCCCCAAGCCCAGACTTGTGAGGGATTGGTCCACCAGGCTGTTGCTTGGAGCGGCCCGCAGGCCCATATATCCATCACAGCCCGGTTGGTCCGGCACTTCTTGAAGAAAACTATCTAGTTTTCTCTTGAAGATGTCCACGGTTGTTCCGGCAATATTTCTTATGCACGCTGGGAGGGTGTTGAACAGCCGCGGACCTCTGATGTTTATACAGTGTTCTCTGATTGTGCCTATGGCACCTCTGCTCTTCACTGATTCTATTCTGTCTTTTCTTCCATATCGTTCACTCCAGTATGTTGTTATTTTACTGTCTAGATTTGATACCTGGCCCTCCAGTATTTTCCACGTGTATATTATTTGATCTCTCTCTCTCTCTCTCTTGTCGTCTTTCTAGTGAGTACATTTGGAGAGCGTTGAGACGATCCCAATAATTTATGTGCTTTATCGTGTCCATATATGCCGTATATGTTCCCTGTATTCCCTCTGTAGGTCCTTTATTGTCACTGTCAGTACTGGTAATTAACCCTGGTGTTTGCACAGTTACAAACCCATTAAGATTTCAACTTAGATTCAACAGAGCAGAAGAAGTTGTTAAAACACATATGGCAAAATCTTACTGAAGCGACCATACGAGTCATAAATACTCATACTCCGCCCAAGTAAAACAGAAACAAGCAACACTTAGTGGGCCAGCCAGAGGCTTAGGGCCCGCGCTGGAATATCCCTGAAAAAAAGCCAGGCTCGATCTGCACCGATTAACGTGACAATTAATTTGGTTTAACAAGGCTCAAAAATTTTCCAACAGAAAACCCCTCCACAGTCCTGTGGGCTAATGCTATTAGATTTTATTATACACGTGTCATCAATATTTGTTAAGTATGATCGATTTATCAGGAAAACGAGTCTTCTGCTCTAAAATGCACGATTTATTTATTTTTTGGGGAAGAAATAGATTACTATGTTAGTATATAGTTCTACAGTAGTTCTATTACTAATTATAATAGTAATAGAACTATTAGATGTTGGAGGCAATTAAAATTGTATCTACTCTATTCACCTGGAGCGTCTATCACCACACACGACACTTGGGTGTAGCTTGTGGTAATAGATTTTGTACACATATACAGGCAGTAATAATATATTCCATGACTTACCCAAGTCTCGCCGCCAGCTCCTCCCTCGCACCCACCTATACACAACTTCGCGAACAGTTACGAACAAGATTTCGAACGTCCGAAGAGTTAACGAACACGGACCAGAGATACAGCAATTAAGGCTTGTAGACGGGGCATAGAGAAGCCCGTTCTCTTCACTCTTGCAGCCAAATACAAAATACAAAGTCCTGTCCTACCCTAACCTAACCTACCCTAACCTAACCCCACCTTACTCTAACCTAACGTACCCTATCTTAACCTAACCTAACGTACCCTACCCTAACCTACCGTAGCCTACTATGCATAAAGAACATAGGTATTTGTCAGCCACAACCGTTCATGTACTATGAAATTTGTACGTTGGGGTCCATAACGTACAAAATAAGATGTCCTAGCTGAGAGGCCGGAGTCGCCCAGAGCGATAGACCTGCAGTCACTGAAGGGTACATATACAAACACCTGGGTGTCAATATCTATCGGAATCTTCGGTTTGACCAAATACTCTCACCAAACCGAACTTATCGCTGGCGAATGTGAAGACGAGTAGACTAGGATAACGAGATATCCCCGCAAAAGAAAAACCGGAAGGTGTACCAGGGCTGGTCCTTCGCCCCACCTGTTATCTTGACGGTGATCTTGAGTGGAGTTATTTATCATTCTCTTAACGCCAGAGTGAAAGATTGCGCGCAGCGGGAGGTATCCAGACTGTCAGCTCCAGGGAACACGGGAATATGATTTATCTCGGAACACACGCGGCAAAGTTTTGTTACACGTCTGTGTCGAGGCTTAGGTGGGCCTGTGCTGCCACAGACGGAGCACAGCGCCGCCCTGGTGGGTGCTGCCACAGACGGAGCACAGCGCCGCCCTGGTGGGTACTGCCACAGACGGAGCACAGCGCCGCCCTAGTGGGTACTGCCACAGACGGAGCACAGCGCCGCCCTGGTGGGTGCTGCCACAGACGGGGCACAGCGCCGCCCTGGTGGGTACTGCCACAGACGGAGCACAGTGCCGCCCTGGTGGGTGCTGGCACAGACGGAGCACAGCGCCGCCCTGGTGGGTGCTGACACAGACGGAGCACAGCGCCGCCCTAGTGGGTACTGCCACAGACGGAGCACAGCGCCGCCCTGGTGGGTGCTGCCACAGACGGGGCACAGCGCCGCCCTGGTGGGTGCTGCCACAGACGGGGCACAGCGCCGCCCTGGTGGGTACTGCCACAAACGGAGCACAGCGCCGCCATGGTGGGTGCTGCCACAGACGGGGCACAGCGCCGCCCTGGTGGGTACTGCCACAGACGGGGCACAGCGCCGCCCTGGTGGGTACTGCCACAAACGGAGCACAGCGCCGCCATGGTGGGTGCTGCCACAGACGGGGCACAGCGCCGCCCTGGTGGGTACTGCCACAG